GTGCTCCCAGGATGATGCGAGGACCACGAACGACTACTGGGTCTGGAGTGCCACGCCTGGAGGTGGTCACGCACTCCATGTGCGTTCCAGAAAGCTCCCACTGTGTTCTCCCAGGGGGTGTGCCGGTCATTGTCAGGGTTTCAAACCTGAGTAAGATAAGGTCCCTGTCTTCAAAAAGTTTACAGTGCAATCGGGGATCAGGGTACACGATCCAGTAAATAATCTTCACTCTTAAAAGTGGCCAAGCGAGTAGGCCTGTCACTGTGGGCTTGAGCAGTTGGGATGGGCATCGCGGTAAGACTTAGAATTTCTTACTGGAAGGGTCCTCAAAGTTTCTGTTATAGGTCAGACGAAACGGCCACACAGAGAAGTTAAGGGAATCGTCCAGAATCACGCGGCAGAGCCAAGCTGTGCAGGCCCCCGCAACAACCCACTTGCATCCTGTCGCTGCTGAAGCTCTCAGCTTGACCTGAGCTCAGGTTGGTTAGGGTTTTATGTTAAGAGCTGATGCAAAGGAGACCATTTAGGGAGGGGCAGCAGGCTTGGGGCAAAGGCTTGGGGGAAAGAAGGAGCAGCGGCTTGGAACCAGAAGAAGCACAGAGGGCCCAGAATGGGCAACGCGTGTCCGAAAGTCACAGGATATAGGTTTTCATTCGCAAAGGGAACAGGCTCCTTTGAGGGGAGATGTCTCAAGACATAAAATTTCCTTTTTCTCTTCATTTCTTGTCACACCTGTCACATCAGTGTTCAATTTAGAGTCACTTGCAGTCAAAGCACAACTAGGTGGTAAAGAGCAGACACACCTGAGGGGGGCTGTGGAGGTACCCTCACCTGTGAGTTTTTAAAAACAAATGTTTTTATTGATTTCAGAGAGAGGAAGGGAGAGAGAGAGAGAGAGAGAAACATCAATGATGAGTCATTGAACAGCTGCCTCCGGCAGGCCCCCTGCTGGGGATCGAGCCCGAAACCTGGGCATGTGCCCTGACCGGGAATCGAACTGGGATCTCCTAGATCATAGGTGGACGTTCAACCGCTGAGCCACACCGGCCGGGCCTCACCTGTGAGTTTGATGGCTGTGCTCCTGATCATCTCCCAGCTGCTGCTGAAGAAGATGAACGAGTGTGTGTGGAGTATCCACAGGATTTCCTGATTTTTCTTGGCCTAGAAGAGATTCATATTGCAAAGAGGGCAACCGGAAAGAGATCCTTTATGGAAATCAGCATCCTAGGGTCCTAAGAAGGAAAATCTAAAGGCCAGTGAAACTCACACAGCCATTAATTACTCTATTGGAAGATGTCTTACGGCTGTTCCAACCCAAGTTCAATCGGAAAGGCACTGGGCTTATGGGACTGAACAACAGACGTGTTGCAGGAATCTAGGAGGACAGATCCAGCCAGGCCTTGGGAAACATGGCAGGACACCAAGAATCACTGCCACCTTCCCAGGACAGCTCTGCGTCTGGCCAGCGGTCCCTTGCTGTGCTGTTTCCCTTTCTGGGATTTGCTGGGACTCTTGCCCGTGTTTTTCGCAGGCAGCATTGGCTGCACACTCACCAGTTTCACACAAAACTGCCTATAGAAATCCCTGGCCCTTGGTGGATCCTGACTGTCAAGGAGGCGATCTAATACCCCATAGAGTTCCTGGAGGCCCAGGAAAGGAATGGAGACCATCAGGACGTCTCGGCAAGCCTGGAAAACAGAATTTCCTGCGTCACGGTCCATAGTGCCGGGGTCCCCTTCCAGAAGGGAAGAAATGTGGACTAGTGTTGGGCAAGGAGCAGTGAGAGTCAGTGACGTGAAGGGCTTCGTAGCTGGTGTTATCACCTTCCCGGTTTCAGGGACAGAGGAGCAAACTCGGGAGGCGATGGAAAGAAAGAAGCCAGGATTGGAGAAGTGGCTTTCAGGCTCAGCTGAGAGTGGCGACTTTAGCTGTGACTTCTAGCCGGGCCAGACGCAGACCGGGCGAGCTGGCACTGCTGGCCTCGGGGAGAGGAGAGGGTGCAGGTGTTGGTGCGGGGGCCACTTACGGCTCCAACTTTGGGATTGGGGTCCCAGAGGTGGAGAAGGAATGAGATCATGCTCTTTTTAATTTCTTCCGCAAAGAAAATCTTCCACCTTCTTCCTGTTAGGGATGCCAGATTCTCAAATAAGACAATGGCAGTCAGTCTCACATCATCCTGCTCCTGTGGCGACAGATGCATGTCACGGGTGAGTCCCCCTCTCCGGCCATTTCTGGCCAGCACCCCCCTCCGCACCCCAGCCCTGCCCCACCCCACTTCAGCAAAGGAAGGCTGGGACCCAGGCACGGGTGCCGGCCTGGTCACAGCCCCGGAGTGTCCCCTTCCCAGCAGCTCGCTGACCCACATGACAAAAGTTTAAATGACCACAGATGGGTCTGGGGTTTACTTGACACCATAGGACTGGAGACTCAGTTTCTGCCTCTGAGTAGCTAAGTGGGGAAATGGGGCCACAGCAGTGAGGAGCAGCGGGCGGAAGGCCAGGGAGGGGTCCTGCTTATTTTATATTTACGCAAACCAGTCTGACTGCACCATGAGCCCAGTTATGGGGCCTCTCATCTGAACTGCCCAAGGCCCAGGACTCTCCTCCAAGGTCCCAAATGCTCTCTAGTAGAATTACAGGCAGCTCAGAAATTTGGGCTTTGGGTCTGGGGGGGGGGCGGGGAGAGAAAGAGAGGAAGAGAGAGAAGGAGAGAGGGAGAGAGAGAGAGGGAGAGAGAGAATAAATGCAAAGTGCTAAGCCCTATTCTGGCGCATTCGAGGTTCTGGAACCCCCTTGTTTGCTGCCCTGAGTGGTAGGCAATGGTCTTAAAAGCTAAAGGGGAAGGTGGTGGAGAAAGGTGGCCTTCTACTACCTCAGATTCTTTGCTGATATGGTTCACAGTTCTAACAAATGCTGAGGAAATTTCTGGAGGGTATTTTCCACCCCAGGTCTAGAAAATTAGTTTAAATTACCCATGTGGGGGCAGAGGGATGAGAGAAAGAGCTGTCGGACTAGCAGAACGTTATTTAGATTCGCAACAAACAGCCAACAGGAAGCATTCCCATGAATATGAGGGAGAGAAAGAAGGGAGGGGAGTTAATTTTGATGGCAAATTAAACATATAAACGGGCGCACAAACAAAATGCCATGAAAAAGGAAGGCATCGAAGATCTTCCAGAAAAAAATAAAGACGGCCTGCGCGGAAGGGCCGGGAGAGTTAAAGAAACACATGAGATGTGGCCTCATGTAGTAGAAAGATTTTTTAAAATGTACTAGGAAGGCGATCAGGATATATTTTTAAAAAGAGAAGACTGATTAATAATGAAGTACCTAAAAGATAGATAGTTACTTAAAAAAAAAAATCTTTTGAATTTTCCAAAATTGATGGCCTACTGATAGGCTAAGGAAGGATCAGCTAACTGGGCGATGGAAAAGCAGAAAAGAGGAGAGGCACGAGTGTTCTGGATGCTGGGAGAGGGGTCAGAGTTTAATGTCCTTGTTTGGGGTGGAGCAGATGGAGTCACAGAGTAAGGTGACTGCTCAGGGTGGCAGCGTGGGAAATGGCAGGGAGCGGGCCTGGAGCATGGGGCGGCAGCTCTATTTTCTGTTCTACCACTTCATCAAAGTGTCGCCATGTTCCTTGAAGTCCAGTAAAATATTTAAATATTGGGAAAAAAAATGGGGAGGGAATTGGGAGATTACAAAATTGTATGTCTAATCTGTAGAAAGCATAGGAGCAAAGCATCCTAAAGTATAGTTAAATATATTTGCGGAGAGAGCATTTTGGAGAATAAATTGCTTGTCATTGCTAAGACTCAAGTTTGCTCAAGTGCTTAGGCAAATGCGACGGAACTGATACCTATTAGGAAGGAGAAAGGTCTACCCTACCAACCAACAAGACTCAAGATTATTTTTCTCCTGCATGAGATGGAAAAACATTATCTTGGCCACAAATGTGGCAGGTGAATTTGTGATTACGGGAGGCTCAGATCCAAGAGCGTTATTATCACTGGGTCAACAGCACCCCAGGGAAACCTAAGGAGCAGATGGGCCTCTGCAGGGGGGACCTCAGCCCCTTGTTGTTCAAGATGGTCATCAACTATCTGTGTGATGGGGAAAAAGACACATTTGTTATTTTACAGACAACACCGAACGGAGTATAAGCCAGGTAAACATTTGTGAGAACAAGATGGGGGTGAAGCGTAATATCGATATGTTGGAGAGAGTGGTTGGAAATGAGCAGAAAGCTGCTTTCCAAAGTTAGGCTTAGGCCAGCACGTAAGTAAACAAGGGACACTGAAAAGTACTAACCTGGACAATATATTGCCGGCTAAAATCCGGACGTCTGTGTGGTTAATACGTTGCCAAAGAGTCAGGAAGAAAGGGCAAGATTTTTAAAAAAACTGAAGAGAATGAACAGGTGAAGTGTGGACTTGAGAGGTAACTTTTCCTTTAGATCCTATTCAGTACTTCTCAGGCCTTATTTAGAGATACAACCCAGTCACTGGTTCATAAAATACTCCAGGAGCTGAAAAATGAGATGTATGGTGAATGAGGAAGGAGAGGAAGACTCTCCAGGCTGGAGGCTGGAGGTAAACGGGGAACGTAGTAAAGCCTGAATGTTCCAGGAGGAGGCAGCTAGCAGCCTCCCGTCTCCTCCGACCATACAGTGCGGAGGAGCAGGCTTAGGCCTCAAAAATGTCCACCTAAGTTAGACGGTCAGTACATTTTTACACTGATGACAGCGAGTAGACCAGAAATAAATAATAAAATCCAGCTTCCCAGAAATTATAGAGGATAATGACCTTCCCCTGCCCAGGGACGCTGCCCGGTAGTTTTTGAGATTAGGGGTATGGAGTAGATCAGGGGGTTGACAAACTTTCCCCGAAAAGGCCAGACAGTAAATCATTCGGACGCTTGTGGGACATCTGGTTCCTGTAACAGCGAATCGACTCCACAAATGAAATGAGGGAGTCACCATAGACATTATGCAACCAGTGAGCGTGGCCGTGTTCCAATAAACTCAATTTACACAAAGATGCTCTGGGCCGGATTGGGCCGAGGAGCTGGAGTTCATACCGACTCCTGGATGAAATGAACCACGTGAGCGCCCTGAGCCTCAGAATCTCAGATAGTGCTGGAGGCGACAGCGTCTTTCCTGGGGCCCTAGTCCTGTACTGAGTATTGTCGTAACTTGCATTCACCCCCGAAGCACATGCTGGNGTCGTACCTTGCATTCCCCCCCGAAGCACACGCTGAGATGATGATTTACGTTGAGCGATTTCTTTGGGAGGTGAGCCCAGGAAGCGTGATGGGAGCGGGAATGAGACAGGGAAGAGACAAAAGCCACAGCAGGGAATTTAGATGAGCGTGCTACCCTTGAGAGAAGGTGGGGCTCGGTCCCAGGGGTGAGGAAGCTGGGGAGTTATCTACAAACTGCTGTTTCTTATCATTTGAGGGTCCTTCCCCAACGTCTGGCCCATCCTGCTCAGACCAATTAGGATTCCTGGGCCAGGGAGTCCCCTCAGACAGACACACAGGCTGCCAATAGCCAGTAGAGGAATTGTCCAGGTGACCTCTGTGCAGGTGACCTCTGGGGCAGGCCAAGGACTGTGGACAGGACACCGACATTGTCTGCTACGAGCACTACCTGAACCTTTTTGTGTTTACTCACTTCGTCTGGGGAGGGAGGATTCCTGAACGGGCTCACTTACGTCTTCAAAGAAGGTTCTCGTTTGCAGCACTATTTCCTTGAAGTAGAAGCTCACATCTCGGTCTGTGAGCAACTCCAGGATCTTCCTTAGCGCCTTCAAGCTTTCGGAGACGACCTCGGTGCGGGCCAGGTGATACAGACCTCGGATGACAGATTCTAGCATTATCTGCTTGTGCTTCCTCACCTGTTTTGAAATAAGGTCTCTTAATCTCAAAGCCTGTTGTGCGTGTAACTGGAATAGGGTGGAAGACCCCGGACAAGGGGACTGAAGTTCCTTTAGGGGCACAAGGACTTCAACTCAAGAGCCACAACCTCAGCAATTTATTTGGATTTGTCACTTAATTTCTCTGCAACCACAAGGTATGGGCTAGTAAATAAGTATTCCAAACTCTCATGAAATAAACTACCCTCCCTCAAAAAAAAAACCCCCAAAAACCTCCCGTTACCTTGTGAGGGGCTCCAGAAGCTGTATTGCCGAGCCCTCGGATGGCCATCTGCCTCAGAGTGGCATTGGAGTCCCAGGCACTCTGATCCATCAAGATCAGCACGTCCCGTAGATTCCAGTGCTTCCAAAGGATCGGCTCCTTCATGAGCTGAAATCGACACACTCCTCCCCTTTAGTGAAGGGAGTGGCTTCCCTTCAGGACAGTGACGAGGGCACCGAGGCCACAGTCGAGGAGGAGGGCCCCGCAGCTCGCTGAGCAGAGGGAGAGCCCCTGGTGGGCAGCAAGTCCTGCAGAAACTAAGCTCTAGGCGCCAGCAGCCCACAGGTCATGGTTACGTGGTGATGGGCACAGGATACTCAGTTAAGAAGGTGCTTCTAACTAAGCCACGTGGAAAATGGGGCAGGGAAAGCGGGAGTTCCTGACAACGCTCCTCCTCTGGATGGGCCGGGACTGCTTCACCCCACAGGGAGGGGGCAGTGACCCCCGGCTGGCTACTTTGGGCCCCTCCCCTGTTAATTTTCCACCCTCCTCTGTCCGGGAGGCAGGAAGAGGTTGAGGGTGGGGTCTGCGTCTCCCTCACTCCCTGCTCAGGCGCCAGGCCTCTGGGTCTCCCCACCCCCAAAGCTCCCCCTGAAGGTCCCCGCGAGAAGCACCCCCACGCCCCGAGCCTGCTGTGCGGGCTGCCGGCCTTGCCTCGGAGAAGAAGGCCGTGCCGGTGATGCGGTAGTTCTCCGAGGAGGAGGTGAGCGAGGAGAACAGCTGCTCCATGATGTCCACGGTGACCCCGTGCTGCCACACGGCCATGCTCCTAGAAAACGAAGCCTCCGGTTGTAGCAGAGGCTTGTTGTTTTCCAAGCGACGGAGGGAACTGGAGTCTATTTCTCTATCAGGAAAGTAAGTCCTCTACAAAGGAACGTTCGAGGGAAGAAATGGCGCACCGGGCGCCCAACCTAAGTGTGACTTGCCTAGAACGGGTCCAGGTATCGCTGTTTTCTTGAGGGGGTGGTGAATTCTGGGCCGACCCTACCATCTCTCCCCAGCCCCCTTGGCTCCCTCTTCCCTGCCTCTTCTCCTTGACTATATACAAGCCCTTGGGGGGTCAACTGCTCTCAGTGAAGTTGCCCGTTTCGAGTTTCTTCCTTTGCGTGTGGTTCTAGGATCTCCGCACGTTACCTGGCCAGCGCACACACCCCGATGTGGTGGGTGCCGGGATCATGGAGCAGCACCCACAAGTTGTCCCCTTCGTCAGACTCCCGGGCCAGGCCTTCCCTCATGGCTTGGGCTTGCACGCACTTCAGAGTTGCGATCGAGAGCCTGAGGGGGCCGGTGGGCATCACAAGAGTAAGTCAACCCTGCCCGGTGAACTGTGACGTCCCGGGGTCACTCCTCCTCTTCCCCACAATGCTCCCTCGCCCCTGCGTTAATGGGTGGTGTGCCAGGGAAACAGGCGGCCTGATCTCACACTTTAGTGTGGGGGTCAGAGGGAGCATCGAGATGGTTTGAGCTGGTAAGTAATGCCAAAGAATCTCATCCACCTCTCACGAGAAAATGAAGCCCTAAAGGATGGGGAGTGAAAAGGGGCCGTATTTCATTGGTTCTGCAGCAGCCGCTCGGGAGTTGGGACACATCTCGCAACAGCTGGTGTGTTAGTTTCGGCCAGACAGTGGTTGTGCCGGGGCTGCTGTTGCCTGGGCGCACGCGCGCATGGGCNATCTCGCAACAGCTGGTGTGTTAGTTTCGGCCAGACAGTGGTTGTGCCGGGGCTGCTGTTGCCTGGGCACACGCGCACGCATGGGTGTAGGTACGGATGGCTCTGTATGCTGATGGCGTTTTGGTAAAGTTACGTGTATTGTTGAAACGGCATGTGCTGCGCCTAACTGCTACTGAACTATATCCTTAAAAGCTGGTTTGACCTTGGAATGAAAAGTTATGCCAAAGGGCAGGGGGAACACAGCAATGGGATATTGGATAAAAATGTATACCTAAAAATCCTAAAACAGCTCTCGGGATAAATATAAAATACAAAATTTAAAGTATAAGAAAGCATTGACGCATGGCTTAATTGATGATGTAGCATCAATTAGGTCTTTTTTTTCTTTCTCAGTGGTACAGAAAATAAGGCTGCCTCCTTCAACTGGGAAAATCTTAAATTTGGTGAAACACGGTCTTCATTTTTCTCCTTTCCCTGTGGTCTTGGCTATGGTAGAATTCCAGCTTTCCTTGGAAGGCCTCAGTGCAAGGAAACAAAGGAGACAGTGGGCCCTCTAGGGAAGCAGACACAGCTGCTTATTCTTTCTGTGACCACTACACCGGGCATCGGCCAGGGCAGAACTGCTCCCAGGCTTCAGGACAGCGGAGCCTTGTGTCTTCATGGGTGGTTGGGATGGTGCCAGAGGCGCAGGCTTGACTTCTGCGGTCCCGGTTCTGGAGTCTGGGATCAGGACAGCTCTGGGGGACCCCCGCCCAGCCGCTCACTTGCAGGGGTCGGCGACCTGCTGCCGCTCCCCTTGCTGCATCACCCGCCGCCTGTAGCTCAAGGAGGAAGCGGGCATCTTCTGGCCCAGCGTGCAGCTGACCAGCTTCAGGAGCAGAGTGAACAGCTCTGGGTACAAGTTCGCCACGGGGGTGCCTATGGATACCACTTCTTGGATAGCACAGGCCACCTGAGGAGAGAAAGGACCCTGCGGTCAGGCAGGCGCCTTACCTCCAAGGATATCCTCCCACTGGGCTGATCGACGCGTTTGTTTTCTCCCCAGGCGACTGCCTTGCACGCAGGTTGACCACGTTCATGGTAAAAACACGCAGGAAAGGAAGGATTGGTCTGGAAACTTCTCAACTCAGACTGCGTTTCTCTCTCGGGGCTGCCACGTTGGGCGGCTCCCAACTCCTGGGGCCACTACTCAGGTAAAATGACATGTTTTCCAGCAGTGGGGTCTTTCAACAAAAAAAAGGGCACTTCAGGTATCTCGAAGACAGATTTGGAAATACGGATACACAGATTTTCTTTGGGCTGATGAGAAATTGGCTTCTGAAAATGTCTGCCACAGACAAAACGACGGCCGTATCGGTTGGTTATAAGCTGGGGCTGATTTAAAATCAGGGAGCGAGAGAAGTGTGATTAATGACACACCACCAAGTCCCAGGTGGGAGAAGTCATGGCGCAGGGCCCATCCCAGACCCGTGGCGCGTGGTCCAACTCACCGCGATGGCGTCCATGCGGGCCAGGTCGTCTTCCAGCCCCGCCTCCAGCTTGACAGTCAGGGCTCGCAGCAGTTTGCCGCAGGAGGCGGGGTGCTCAGCCAGGGCCTTCCACAGCGTCTTTGTGTCCCTAGGGCAGCGAGGCGGCAGGCTCAGGAGGCACAGCTCCTTGGCACAGGAGCGTTTCCACCTGACTCGCTCTCAAGCCACATCGTGACTAACCAACATCTCAAGGACAGAAGGACGCATTAGTGTGCCTGGGGTCATGAGGGTGTTTTATTTAACAATCCAGCACTCTGGCCTCGGGTTACTGAGGTTGGTTAACGTTCATCAAGACAGAAACATCTCAGAGAGGTGTATTCTGGGCAACCAAAATGAGGAGAAATATTCACTTTCTAATACTTTTTCCTATGGTCTATTTAAGAGAAATCTCAGTATTATTCCATAAACATATGGGAAACATGAGGGAAAACATTACCTGTGATTCAAACACCAATTTTTAAATTATTATTCAGGTGAGACGTTTTCAACCTGTATTTGCTCTCTTTCTTTCAAACAACACGCCCGTCCCCGTGCCCTGCAGAGCGGCCGTTCCCGGGAGAAGGGACAGTTCAGACAGAACCTACCTGTCGTGGGGCAGGGGCTTCTGCAGAAGGTTGGCGACCACCGCCTCCATGTGAAAGCTGGCGATCTGGGAGATGGCTTCCAGAATGAACTGAAAACTTTCCTCCTTCTGCCGGAGGATCGGCATGTGATAGTAAATGATGCTCAAGATCTCCAGCAGCTACACAGAGAAAGCCAAAGCCAACGTTACGTTGTCATTTCCCCTCTAGGACGGGAAAGGCTCAGGGCTAGTGCAGTCGGCGTATCGGTGGCCGATGGATTATAAAAAATGTTAAAAATGATCATTGATTCTCCACCTGGCCTTCTCTTATTCAGGAGAATTGCTGACTTGGATATGTATTCTTAAATCAATTTAGTGACTATTTCGTGAAAGGCCGCTTTATGCCAGGAGCTGTGCTAAGTTAAGCGCTGTGCTGAGTTTACCTGAGGTGATTAAGATGTGGCCTCTCTCAAACGGAAAGGGAGGCCTGATAAAGGCTACTGGGCATATCCCCGAAGGGTGTGGCAAATGGCATCCATGAGGCACCCAGGACTGACGGGGCACCCAGAAATAACTGAGGTCGCTCTGGAGGGACATCTGGCCTGGGTCTCGAAGGACATACAGCAATTTCCAAAGGCGGGGTGGAGACGGTGGGAAAGGCGCCTTCACCGGCGGGTTAGAATTCGGCTGGGCGGTCGGGGGGGCCGTCAGTTTACCTGATCTTCCAGAACAGCTCCCTGTTCCTTCAGCACCGTGATCATCCATATGCCACAGGCTGTTGTGCATGTGGGGTTGAGGGTCTCCAGGCCATCCAGGGCTTCCTCCAGGAACATGAGAATTTCTTCACTTGGGATGAGCTTGCTAACGATCTGAGAATGGGCCAGAGGAACGCGTGTTATCAACCACCTCACTTCCCATCTGGGCACCTACCTCGTGCGGGGCGTGCGCACTTGCTGTCCCCCTCTGCCTGGAATGTTCTTCTCCAGGTGTCTGCGTGCTTCCCTCCTTCGGAGTGACCTTCTCCAAGGGGTTACCCCTCCCTTACTCTCTTTTATTTTTCCCAACAACTCCTACCTGATATGATATTGATTTGGTGGACTCCATCTACCGGGATGCAAGGTCAACTCAGGCAGGCATTTTGTCTTTCTCTGTTCTTAGAGCTTAGACAGAGTCCGGCACATAGTAGGTGCACAGGGCATATTAGGTGAGTAAATGAATGATTGAATAAATGAATGAATCGACTGACCAAGTTCTCAAAACAGCTCCGAGAGGTAGATGAGACAGATCCTTTCTCTGGAGCTGAGGATTCTGAGCTCCGAGCAGTGCCTTTGGCGAGTGACTGATCAACTCCGTGGCCCTTGTCCCTTCTACACCACCCCACTGCCTCCCTCAACCCGGAGAGGGCCGCTTGGTTGGCAAGGCTTCCCGAGGTATGAAACGAGCTGCAGCGGGCGTCCACTGGGCACCTGTCAACCCAGAGGTCATAAACGACAGGACACAGGCCTTTCGTTCGGCGTGGACGGCTAAGCTGCTGCCCTCGTTGGCAGTGAGGGGCACGCAGCTTACTCATTTGAAAGTCACCCCGGAATCATCTTTACAGCCCTTGGCCAGTCCTCCATGCCCGTTACCTTTGCTATTTTAGAAGAAATCTTGACCTGGACCTGCACGTCGTCGCATTGCAGCCCCTCCTGCAAAATCTGCAGCCTTTCCACTTCCAGGCGGACACCTAGAAGCAGCCACAGGAGACCGGTAAGAGCTCACAGCCCCGAGGGACGTGGCGGAGGCTGGCTGGGTTAGGATGAGACAGGAATTCAGCGACTGGGCACCTTCCACAGACGCACTGAAGACTGACCGATGAGGCAGTGAGCGTAAGAACAAACAGGTATTGAGTAGCCTCTGCCTGCCGGGCACCATGGTAAATACTCGCATGCAGTGATCTCACTTATTAGTCAGAAAGATCGCCTGAGGCAGACTCTCCTGTCGCTGGCCCCATCTCGCAGACGAGAAGGCTGAGGCAGAGAGAGGAAGCCATCTGGCTGCACGAGGGTGAATAAAAACAGAAAGCCGGAGCTGGTGCCCTGGTCTGTCTGACACCCCGACCCCGAGGCCCAGGCCCTGACTCCCTGCGATCCTGGCTCTGTGGGACTTCCATGCTGCAGC